TTCTGGTCCCTCCCACAAGTTTGGCCCCGCCCCCATAATCTACCCCGCTCCGCCCACAATCTTCCCCGCTCCCTCTCTTCTGCCGCCCCGTCTGGCCCCGCCCCCTCTCTTCTGGCCCCTCCCAGAAGCCCGGCCCCGGCGCACCCCGATGAGGTAGATGCGGTCCAGGCTGAAGTTGGGCACTATGGTGACCAGCTCCTTCTCGGCCAGGAACTCGGCTTCAGCCGGGTCCATTCCCGGCGCCGCGGGCCGAATCGGTACCGGAACCGGAACGGCCCGGGGAGCCCTTCCCATTGGCTGGCTGCGCAGGAAGCCCCGCCCCCTCCCTTGGACTCCGACCGCAAAACATCCCCGATTGGCTGCCTGTCTCGCGCGGTGCCCGCGGGTTGGCTCCCTCCTGCGCGCGGAGATTGGCTGAGACGCGGCTTCTGAGGGAGGGGCCGGGGAGCCTTCCAGCCGATCGCTGCTCTCCCTGAGGAGGCGCCGGCCAATCAGCACTCTCCCTCGGCGCGTGGGCGAGGCTAAGTGTAGAGAAGGCGCGGGAGTTGCCATGGTGTTTCCATCCCCACTATGTGTCATAGACCTTGTATCTCAGGGGGGAGTCCCCCACAGGGGTTGGGGTAGGGAGCACCCCCACATGTCCTCAGCCTGAGGGGAGCCTTGTCCCGGCTCCATGCCAGCAATTAACCCAATTAATTAGGTTAGCCCAATTAATTGTGGGGGTCTGTCACACCTCCGCCCTCATGGCCTTATCACACCAATCCTGTCTGCAAGGTGCTGAGTGCCTGCTGCGGCCCCAAATATAGCTAAAAGGTGTCTCCACCCCACTGGCGGGAGGTGGGGGGAACTCTCCCTTGAGGAATGAGCAGTACGGGGGCTAGGACACACGCCAGCATGTGCTGGGGGGAATGCAGTATGTCTCTTGCAAGGCAGCGCCATGGCAACACCCTCACATATGACATAACTTCCTGTAGCTTCATTGGCGGCAGACACCAGCATGCCCGAGCGGGGCTGCTGATGCTTTGCCCACCCTTGATCTCGCCTCTGAACAGCCGCGGCGTGGGGCGCAGCGCCAGGAGTGCCACCACGGAGTAGCCTCGTCATCGTTAGCATAGCACCTTGTCAGCTGTAATGATTCCTCCCTTCCAGGCCAGGTAGGTGCTTCTTCTCCTCAGTGGGTGCGTCTACATGAGATGCTTAATGCGCAGTAGCCTAATCATTGCCCTGTGCAGTGGTGCGCCGGGCCAAAAAAAAAAATCGTGTTAACATGCTACTGTGCATCATGTTTCGTTAGTACAGATGCTCTTAATTGGTTCCTGAAAAAGAAACAACGAGCGAAACGAGCAGCAAGTGAAACCGAACGTTTTTGATCATCTGACACGACAACCGCAAGTGTTTTTAATGACCCGAGCATTATAACAAAACTCGCCGGGTGCTAAGTGTATCCGTTTAAAATGAGCATTGTAGCCAATGAGCGCCAAGCGCAGCACTGTGAAGCAGGGGTTGCCTGTCTTCCATTAAGCGAGTACTAAACTACTGCGCATTAGTGAACATGTAGACGCGCCTTGTGTTTTTTTAACCGCAGCTTTGCAACTTTGTTCCCTGTTTTTTCGGATGAGCAGCCTGGCCTAGGGTCAGAGGGGTGGACTTTAATTCATGAATGTATTCATATTATTTATTACAAAAGCACTGCGAGGTCAAGGCACCGTACCTAGACTCCTGGCAGCCTTGGGGCAAACTTTTAGTATCAAACCCCACTTCGCCAGAGATAATGATAATAATGATAATCAAAATGACCATTTTCAGGCCTCCTTTCTATCCGCCCGTGCTTATGTTTGGCCCTGCTAGAGGTCAAGGCCCTGCCACCCTGTGCCTCTTCCAAATATTTGGCACAAAGCTGATCATCTAAGTGCAAGCCCATAGGCAACAGGTGGGCACAAGAGCCAGGTGGGTGGAGTAAGTGGGGACATAAGGAGCTGACATGGATCAGCTTGAAAAACAGCAACCCATCTGGCAAACCATTGTTCAGCATTGTGTAGGCATTACAGCCCAGAACTGTTTGAGAAAGGTATTTTTCTACCTCTGACCGGGACTTTGCTTGTTAATTAAAAAGAAAAGCCACCCCCAAACACTCAGCTACCGGGCCATATTTAAGATGAAACACAACAACAACAAAAACCCGTCAAGACCCATCGAAGATGTTAATGTCCAAAGTTATGCATGGGGGGGGAGGGAAAAAAAATAAAATAAAAGCTTTTATCCAGGAGTGATTTAGAGTGCTGTCAGCCAGGCTGTTAGGATGTCAGGTCGTCATGGAAACAGAAAGCCTTCAAACAATATTAGCGGTGACAGGTCTATTTAATGGTGTGTTTTTGTGATCCTGTTCAAAACACCATCTATTTCTTTGCCTTGCCTCCAGCTTGTCCCAGCACGGGCAGCAACCCCAATGCAACAGGATAAATAAAAAGGCTCCGAATGCAGCGTATAATCCCTGTCACCCGCCCCCCCCACAAAAGTCTTTCCTGGGGAGCCCTTTTCTTTCCTCTTGCCATCTCATCCCTGCCCCAAACCACTCTCTTGCTCAGATCGGGGCCTCTAGAATTTAGACTCAAACCACTCTGCATTGCATGAATAAAAAAGGAAAATGATAGTACCCAAGTTGTGGTGATGATAATAATCCTATTTTCCGGCTGTCATTCCAAGGCCTTGTTATGTCTGGATCTGATTTCTTCTCTCTCCACTTCACCCGTCCATAAAAAAAAAAACAACCCTCAAATTTAAGTGCTGTCTTCCCAGCGGCAGCTGCCAATAGTTCCTGTTGATTGATTTGTATTGATTAATCTGTTATGGCTCCCAAATGGCTTCCCCCCCACCCTTTCTTTTTTTAATTAAGTGAGTTTTGTGTTTGTGAGAAGTGCCAGACGGGTGACTCTGGGGGGCAACTCTGCATATTGGCAGAACAGCAATAACATGAGGAGTAGAAGGGCTGGTAGCTACCTCTGGGGGGTGAAGGCAATTTAGATTTCCGCCCCTATTCACCTCTTCGCATCCCTGGTGAACATCAAAGGCACCAATTATTGCCTAGCTTGGATATCACCCACTTGGAAAGCATCCTTACCTGGTCCCCTTTGAATCTTGAGCATCAATTGAAAATGAAGAGGTTTTCACAAATATCCTATTGCAGTCCTTGTTATTCCCCCTCTAGCTTTTGAGACTTCAGACCTCACATTTGTCCAGATTTTATCCACAACTAGGAGAGTTAAAAACATCCCATGGGTTTCAAAGGGAAGCTGAGTAGTCTCATGACTCCAGGAGCTCAGTTTTAGGAGAGACGGTGACCACTGTGAGAGTTACATTTGGGGAAGCTGGCAGCACAAATTCGGGACATGAATGTGGTTTTGGAAACCTTCACTAGCTGTTTTTTCTACCACCTCGCCACTATTTCTAGTGCAAGAGTCCTGCTTTCGGCTCCAGAACTGCCCCATGCCACCTGAGCTGGGTTTTGACACTTCTCAGTCTGAAGCCCAAAATCTGGAACATAACTCAGGAGGTGCAAATTCCCCCGTTATGTTCCAGTTTTTGGGCTTCAAATTCCCCCGGAAGCAAAAAGCAGCCGTGTCAGGCAAACCATCAGTGCCTGTGATCCGCAGGTTTTGAGCAGCTCTGATCTTGACAGCTTTAAAAAAAAAAACAACAGCTGTCATACAGGAGGAAATCTTGTCATCTTCATGACACAAGAAATCTGCTGGGTAAGCATTGCCCTGGGTTCTGCTAGCTCTAAATACACTCTGCTGAAGAGAGCTATTAAAACCAGGCTTTAGTGGGACTTAAGGCATTCCCAGCTCCCTTGCTATATACCAGTGCAGTAGATTTGTGCCAGCAGGTCGAGCTCGCTCCACGGCAGCAGCCAAGATTGGAATTCATAGCAGCCCCTGCCCTTCATTAGACCCCATAATGAAAGCACTGAACTGCTCTGCTCCTCCAGAAATAGACCAAGAGAGATGTCTGCAGTTGGAAATGCTCATCAAAGTGGCTGCTCCTGGGAAAATAATAGACTGATCGAATTGAACAGGACCTCTGGGGTCATCCAGTCCAGCCCCCAGCACAGAGGCACAATGCACTCTTCCTAAACCATCCGTATCAAATGCTTATCCATCCCCTTCCTGAAAATTTCCAAGGATGGAGATGCCACAGCCTCACCCAGCAGTTTGTACCATTGTCCTGCTGTTCTGACAGTAATGAAACTTTTCTCTGAAATTTCATCTCAACCTGCTTTGCTACAGTTTAAACCCATTGCCTCCCGGCTGACGCTCTGCAGAGAGAGAAAAAGACAGCACAAAAACCCCTAATGCAGACAAGTCTCTGAAGAGCTCCTCTCTTAGACAGGCCCAGCAGCTTCATCACATAGGAAAGCCAGACAGGCTGGTTGAAACAGCTGGAAGAACAAGCAGCCTGTCTCTACCTTTGAAATGCTCCATCGTTCATTGGTGAAGTTCAATTTCGGGTCCATTTCCAGCCTCAAATGCCACATTTTGATTTGCACTTCTCTTCCACACCCCCGGAGCTGGCTTTCACGTGCCTCCTGTGCAAATAGCCTTCTGTGTGTAAAGGGTTATTCTAAAGGGAGAAAGGGAGGCTGTTCAGTTCTTCATATCTGTCTGGGTCTCCATGAACCCGTTTAAACCTGCCATTGCTGCTTGAACCTGGTTCCTGCTGGTTAACTTGTGGTAGGCAGGGGCAGCCCCGCAAAGGCTGGTAGGCCTGGAGATGTCTGTGCCTAATAAGCACCTTTTGTCACACATTCATCCTGACCTTTAATCCAGGAACCAGCTTGGCTGCTGATAATGCTGCATCCTCAGCCTGCAGGCTTTCCCAACCCAAAGGCACACTGCTGCTGTTCTACATCCCCTGCCTTGGGGTACCAGTGATGCCTGTTTGCTCCAAAGAATTACTCAGTGGGCTGCAATCCATCCAGGGCTCCTTTAGGGGTTGTCACAGGGGTTAGGACAAGAAATTGTCTAAAGTTGCACTGAGGAAGATTTAGGTTAGATATTGGGAAGGGCTTTCTAATGTAGAGGGTTGGTAAGCACTGGAGCAGCCTGCCCCGGGACATCTCCTCCACCCTAGGGCTCTGAGAATAGTTTGGACAGGCATATCAGGATGGCCTCTGTATCCTTGATCCTGCCTCAGAGCAGAGGTGGAATACATGCAAGTTTCTCCATTTCTGTGATCAGGGGAGGGCAAACCGGGTGACTGCCCAGGGCCCCACACTTTAG